TAGACGCACGGCGGCGGAGACTCGTGGAACGGGTGGGGTGCCCCGGGCCGTGTCAGATCCCGTGGCGCCTCCCCGGTAGATGCTGAGCGTGAGTGAGAGCCTGAGTTTGAGCCTCGTGGCGGACGTGCCGTGTGACATCGGTCTGCTGGTTATCGGAGCCGTGGATTAGTGGGAAGAATTGAGTCAGCTCAAAGGAATTAGGAGTAAAGTTGAGGTAGTTTCATTTGTCCTGGCGAGTATCGGGTGAGGTTTCAGCCGAGATTATGACGCACAGATCAACCAGGTTTGTAAAGTGTTCGCGCGATTTTATTTTGAAAATCACGTTCTGGGTCTGTTGGCTGTTGTGTGTAAAGGTTTCATAGAGCTCATTTCACAATAATCATAGCTTAGCATCATTTTTTGTCAGCGTCAGCTCTGTGGCTTTTTGTTATCGGCTAAGGCTCGTTCTCAGAGCTGGTGAGCACAGTCGGAGTGGCTTTAGTTGGCGAGCACATGCTTTGGTCTGACAACTCTGCGACGTTAGGAAAGGGGCTGAGGTGAGCAGCTGCAGGACCTGTTTACTGTGAGGGGGAGAATGAACTAGACCGATACAACAGGGAGCCCGTTTGAAGTTCCTGCTCCTTGCTTCCTCCAGTTACCTCCACTTCACATGCTCATCTTGCTCCATTCATTATTCACGCTGTGAGACGCGGAACCCCTTCGTCCCATCCCATCACTCGCCCAGGTCGGTTAGTTCTCAACTCCACCGCCAGGTAGCCCGTGTTGCCCCCAACCGGGGGTCTGCGCACGGCCCGAGCGAGCACGGCAGGACAGGCGTCTTCACAGTACCTCGGAGTGGCTTTTACGGCGTGCGAGAGCGCTCGATGGGCTCGATACAATGCCTTGTTGGTCTCGCTCAGTGATCAGTGGCAGTGGAGTGGTAGGTAAATGTTAGATCCTTTGTGCCCGGCAGTCGACAGCAGTGTACGTTTCTTGGAGGTAGTCAGGTAAATAAATTATTTTCTACAACTACCAGCTGTTCTTTGAGTGTGCGTATTTGATGTTTGGTCTCCGAATCCCTCACGACAGTAAGGAAAGGAAGGAGGAAAGAAAGAAAGAAAAAAGGAAGATAGTTTTAGAAAGAAGTTTTTACTTGAGTCAACACATTTCGTCACTGATGGTGTAATTTTCTGCTACTGGTGGCGGATGGCGTCAAGGTTTACGTCATAAAAGGAAGACTCACTACCTCATTGGTATTCTACGTGGACACAGGGGCAGGCTGAAGGTTATGTACTCGTATTTGTGGAATGTTCATGATATCACACAATAAAGATGCGTGATAACATTTGTGTGATTACGTTAGCGCTTCGCTTGAGAATAGTCCGTCGAGCTAAGAGTGACTGCTTGACTATGCTTAATGGCCCGCCTACCATGTTGATAGTTCGTTCCATTTCAACTTGCGTTTTGCTTTATTTTTGTAGAGCACAAACTGCGCCGTCTGATTTTATGTGGCTGTTTGACAATTACCCAGATCATTGGATGGTATAATCGTTAGTTCCTGATCGATTGGCGTCCGTTGCCCAAATTCTGATCCACAGTCCTACTCCTGACCGCACAGTCATCACCTCACTAGAGTCGTAATGACCTCTCGGCGCCACCAATCACCAGATTGATGGCTCGGATCCTCCGCTCGCTCCGTGTTGAGGCGTGGCTGCTAGTCAGTGGATCGCGCTGAGCTGAACAGCCCGTCTGTGAAACTAATGGTCCGCGCCGACTGGGCGACCGTGGCGAATCGATGGCCGCCCCACACACCGACCACTGGGTCACTCTGGAGCGCGGCCGTAGGCTCCTTCTCCAAAGGTCACGTCTTCGATGGGAAGAAATTGCCCGTCTTTGCTGAGCTAATGCGGTGCTCCCGATTTGGGTAAAAGTGTCTGTGATCTGAAGGTCTATTTCAAGCGGTAGACTACCGTTGACTTTTTTGTCACACCAAGTTTAACGTTTGTTTTGACTCAGTTTCCGCTATGAACAGACACGTATCTTGGCATTTGCCGTTTTTGTCTGATAAGGGGCGACCACCAATTTTGACGTCGCTTTACGTACGATTCGGTATTCAGCAAGGTAGTTCAAAGGCAAAACAAAAGCAATGAACGCTTAGTTAATATCGCAAGTCTCGCTCGTGCTCAACCAACGCGTCTTATATCTGTATAAGCGCTAAATAACTCGTCATACCTCCCTCTGATCTGCCATGATGAGGCGCTGTCGGGGACCGGCTCCCCTCCCGGCGCGGCCTTCCGCCGGCCTTTGATACGGGTGCGGCGTCCCGTGCCACCTCCTTTGTCCCTCCGGCGGGGAGCGCTCCCCTCGCTGCCGTTCAGCGTCCCCGTCCCTCCCCTCGGTACGCGCGGCCGACGCGCCGCTCAGAAAATCAATGTTCTATCGCACCACGCCAACCGAGCCGCCGCCGCCGCGGCCCAGCGTCGGCAACGACGGAGCTCCGTCGGCGCCGACGAGACGGCCCGTCGGCGACGACGGGACCGAGAGCTGTCACTGAGTTGGTGGTCGGTCTGACTTCCGAGTGGCTTGGATTCTGACTGTCTGCGACAGACAGACGGCTCGGAGCTGTTGGCCAGACTGGCCCCAGCTGACTGACTGGCTGGGTCGGATTCTGAACGGTCAAAGTCTGAACTCAAGTGTTTTACAAGGGAGGGGTACTCTTGGGCCATATGGTGTCGGGTACTGTCTCTGATAGCCCGGCAGCTGTCATCCGCCGCCCTGAATACCAGCTCAATGACCGGCTGGTACCGGGTCGTGTGACCTGGGGCAGGGGCACTCATCCACCAAAGAAGGCGGGCGGGACGAGCAGAAGTTGAAAGATGTTCACGCTCGTCCCTTGGCCACCGTCGCTACCGAGCGTCGGTCGTATTGAGTCCTTGACATCGCATTCCGCTTTCGTTTGTCGTTTTCGTCTCCCGTCTGTCTCCTTTTGATGAATCTCCTTACACAGTTTGCATTGTCTCGTCCAAGGCTTTTTCTCCGCCTCCCATCTGACACGTGACCCCAGACTCATCACCGTCCCTCGGCTTTCGCCTGGCTAATCCCGTCTCTACCTAGCTGGCCGGTTTTCCTATTTCCCTAACGCGAATTTTTGTTCATAATGGTGACTTGGATCGGACCAGAGCAGACCTCAGACTATGTAATGCCTCAGACGATACCAGACCAGACCAGAGCAGACCACACTGAGCCAGTCATTGCCAGACCAGACCAGACACGGTCATTCGACTCTCGACTCAGAGCAGAGCAGCCGTCCAACTGGCATAATAATTTCAGAGCATGCACTGAAAATCAATGGAAAACTGTCATGTGTCAGACGTTAGTTTGCAAAACGCCGCGCTGGTCAGTTGTAGCTTCAACTTTCATGCCCTGTTTGCATTGCTGATAAGTTGAAATAGGTTGTTCTTTTGATTTAATTCGTTTCGTTGCATTCTGAGCTGCTAAGGTTCAGGTTATTTTGACAATGCTTGTCACAAGAGGAGTTTAGCAGAAGTCTTGTGGGATACTGTCTGATCGTTACTATCCGTCTAAAACATTCAAGACGGCGACCAATTATCTCCGAACGAGAAAACAAGTGTCTGGGAGGAGAAGCTGAGCGATGAGCTGATTTAGTGCCGTACTTCTCTCTTCCCAGGGAGGCCGTTAGCATGACCTTTTCTCAGCCCCGTTCACGGTGCTCATAAAAGAAATATTGCCCGTCTGGGGTGACTTTTGGCCATAAACCGTAATAGATACATCTTGCAGGACGAACTTCGAGAACTGAAGCCCCGGATGCCGGAACAGCTATCCGACAGCATGAGAAGGCTGTCTGGGATCTGGAGACGTTGCATTTCACGGTGAGGGACCATGGCTGGCTCTGGGCCACTACATGCCCATATTTGGCGTCCACCAGCTCGAGTTCTGCTCCTTTCAAACACGCTTTGATCACACCGCTGCTGGCGCCGTCAATAGTTGTACTCGCCTACCTATCGCACCATCTCGCCCCTGTAGCCCTCGTCATGTTCCCCGGACCCCGCGCTGTCCGCGGTACCCAATATCTCTCCGGCGTTAATCTCTGCTCACTGCTCACTGGTCAGCCGGCCGTTACAGCCGCCCTCCGTCGCCGGCCCTGGTTTGGCCAGATTTGGCGACAGACTCCTGGCGCCGGCCTGGGCCAATCGCCGGCTGTAAGCCGTGCTGATTAATTAGCTGTGGTCGGTCCGGACGGTCGGCGCCGGACGGTCCGTGTCGGCAGCCCGGCGTCCGGACGGCGCCAGAGGCCGGCACGCCCCCTCGGCCGGACGGTCGATACCCCCCCCCCCTCCCCCTCCCCGGCGACATAGACCCGATCGGTGGTACACGGTGTGTGTGTGTGTGCGCGCGTCACGCATGAGAAACTGCGACCAACACACGCCCGATAGGACCGGTAGTGGGGGGGGGGGGGGTGATTGTGGTGGGCGGGGCTGTGCTGTGCGGTAGAGGGGACGACGCCCTCAAATAGGCTGGGGTGCATACAAATGACACCATAGAACCACAATGGGGTCGACCGGTGGCCCTGCGGTCTGGCGGGGTGGCGGTAGGGCACGATGAATGACGTGATCAGGGTAACATCCCAGCTGTCGGGGGAATATAACTCAAACTGTCAACGGGGCCGGCTGTGGTGAGATACCGGTCACGCAAAGGACGAGCCATTCCGTGCTGCGATTCGCGATGGGTGAAATACTAACGTTTGACAACCTCTGACAGGTCACTATAACAGAGAAGAGACGCTCCTACCATGCTTACAGGCGTCTCCCGCTGATGAAAGTGATACGTTCTCCGTACATTCAGCACCGCTCCTGACGTAATGACAAAACAAACACGCCTTGCATCGCTCCTGACATTCGTCTCTTCGTCTGTTTACGTTACCAACAGATCCCATATACGCCATCTGTATGCACTGTCTCGTCAGCATTCGACCGAGGACGGTATTCTAGGAGCAGAGGGGCGACACCGTCATTATTTATTGAACAACCACACCCGACGCCGAGGCTATCGGCACGCGGGCCGCACGAAGACGTGTGTTGTACTGTAGCGCGGCCTCCCGACCGCGAGCAAAGCGAGTCTGACGTCACACGTCAGCTGGAGTGACGTCATAGTGTACCCAGGAAGGGTTAATATCAAAGCGAACCCTCAGGCGCAGTTAGTGTGGCGATTAGGTAATACTGTCTGGCTTTCCTTTGATGATATAATTAGATTTCCCGTTTAAACGTTGTCACGCGTCCGGCGAGTTACAAGAAAAGCAAACGCGTCATAGCGGATTAATTGTAGTGCCCTTGGAGCAATATCATCGATTCCTGCGATAACTGTTCTTCAGAACTCCTGAGTGAACATGATCCCGCCACACCCAAGCCCACACACAGCAGCCATCAGACATTTAACACTCGTGTGTTCCACCCGACATCCAAACCCGACCCGCACACACCCCAATCCGTTCCCTCCCGCCTCAGAACCTGAACACGAATCCCTTCAGGTTGGCCGCCTTCAGCAGCGCCAGTGCCGCTTTACACCCGGGCGTCATCTGCTTCCACAGCTGCGCCTTCTTCTCCCGCTCCAACTCCTCAGGCGTCTTCTCTGCTCCGGCTCCTGTCGGCTCGGCGCCCTCCGGGTTGTTCACCACCTCGGCGTGCGTCTCGATTTGACTCGGTGGTGAGGTCTCCGTGGGCTCGCCTCGACTTGGCATTGTGGTCTCGGTGACCTCTTCGCCGGACTTTATGAGCACGACACCGTTCTGTTGGACCACTACTACCTCGTCAGACGCACCCGCTTCAGGGCCAGAGCCGTCCTCCGCGGTGGACGGCGGCAGAGACGATGGTTCTTTGGACGGCACAACGTCAGGTGCTGCTTCAGCAGAGGCTGCTGATGGTTTTGTGTCCTCAGCTGCCGCTGGCGTTTCCGAGAGTGCGACTGGTTGCTCGGTCCCAGGCGCTGCCTCGTCCTCAGCATTCTCTTTCTGGTGATCCTCATTGGGGTTCTGTTTTGCGTTCTGGCAGTCTGTGGGCTTGGGATCACTGCTCTGGACGGCAGGTTCGTCCGTAGTCTGAGGATCAGCAGCAGTCTGCAGGTCTGAGACAGGCTCTGTGCTCTCCTTGGTTGCTGTATCCGCCTCCTTCTCCGGGGCGGGGTCTTCTACCGCCTTCTCCTGTCGCGCCGGGCAGCGCTTATCCTTCTTGTTTCTCCGCCTCTTCTTGGGCGGCTGCTGGCGAGGTTTGGCGGCCGGCGGGGGCGGCTCCGCCCTAGACTCCGCCGGCGGTACCTTAGAGTCCTGGCACGGCACCTCAGCTGTCACCGCCGCCGGGGCTGGGGAAGATGATGCCGCTGATTCACAGTTCGCCACCACTTCTGACGTGCCCGACACATCACAATTTACCGCCGGTCCACAGCTGTCCGCCGTCACCGACGTCACTGCCTCGTCACTCTGCGGCCCGTCCCGCGCGTCCTCCCCACTCCCCTCGCCCTCCCCTATGGCACTGTCTCCCTTCGCTGTCCTCCAGGGGTACTCCACGCCCAACAGCTCTGCCAGGTCGGGCACTCGGAACACCGAACGCTGCTCGGAGAAGAGTTCGTCCCGTGTGAGAATCACCAGGCCGAGCGATTCGTCGGCCTCGCAGTGTTTACCCTCGTTGTAGAGACGCTCCAGGTCGGTGGAAGGCAGCGAACACCTGTCGATGGAGAGAGGGAGGAGTCAGGTGGAGAGAGGGAGGGAGCGGGGAGGGAAGGAGGTGTCGGCTCAGCACGCGAGCGGCGAGCGCCGATCGTTATCCAATTTAGGGAGAAGCAACAGTGTTTGAGCTGAGAAAGCCGCGGGCGATGCTACAAGATTAGAACGGTCGATGCGTCAAACGAAGCCACGTGACTACAATGTTGATATGTAGAGGCCAACGATATAAGCGCACAATCTAATCATGCCTGTTCATAGAAACGTGCCTATATTTAATGCATGTAAAAGCAGCACGCTGCATTGCAAAGCTGCAATAAGCTGCAGCTTATGGCATGGTGGCTTACAAATCCGTGTTTAATTGACGATTACCGGTTACTGTAAAGCTCCAGCTAAACAGCTATCACTTCCCGGAATGGAATTATTTGGAATGTCATCAGTCAGCGATTCATGACGGATATATTCAGGGGCGCGGGAACTACTTTCCGACTGGGGGGGCACACCATAATAGAGATTAACCTAGGGTACCCCCAAATCTAGTTTTCTCACCGGTTTTAGGCCACTTATTTTTCACCCCTCGGCTTTTTCAACAAAAAAAAGAAAACATTTGCAAAAAAAAAGTGTGGTATTCCGTCTCAAAGCTGTGGGGGCACCGCCCCCACGGCCCCAGAGTTGGGGGGGGGGGGCAAGCTGCCCCCACTGCCCCCCGGCTCCCGCGCCTATGGATATATTTCAGTAAATCGCCTTACCGCGGTCATCCACAACACAGGCACCGTACAGCGCCACTGACCTGAGTATGAACTCGAGGGTGGGCCTCCCGCCGAGCCCCCGGTCCCGCAGCACTCCCGCCAGGTACGGTCTGCTGATGTGTGTTAGCGGCACACCGAGCTCATCTCGCACCTCTCGCCGCACCGACTCAAACACCTCGCTGAGCGCGGCACGGTGCCGCTCCTCGGCGGCGGGACTCTCCTCGGCAGAGCTGGGCCGGGGCAGCTCGTCCGGCTCGGCGTGACCCCCGGGCCGGTCCACCAGGCCGGGGTACTCCCCGACCCAGAGAGCCCGCCGCACGAGGATCACACGGTTATCGGAGGTGAGCAGGGCCGCCCCGACGGCCAGCGGGTCGGCCAGGAACGCCTGCGGGTCGCCGTGCACCGCCTCGCCGGCCTGCTGCAGCTGCCGCTGGCCGGCCCGCAGGTTGGTGCCCACGTGCTCCCGGTAACTGGTGAGACCGAGCTGCAGCTGAGGTCGGTCGGAGCACCACTGCAAGCCCGCGTACCGGAACTTTGAGCCGTTGAAGAGGCGCGGGTTGGCACGGCTGGCTCGCCGCCACTGACTGGCGATCGCCTCCTCCTGGGCCGGATTCGTTTTGCGCCCGAATCGCTCCGGGTCGAAACAGGCGTCGAGATCCTCCTGGTCGAGCGGAACGGAGTCGCGGAGCAGGCACAGAATCTGTGGCAGGTCGCCGTCCGGGGCCTCCATCGCAGGAGACCACGCTCACTTCACACCTGCGCGACGCCGGCCCCTCATCGACGAGTCACCGACGAATACTGGTCAGAGTCCGGCTCGACGTACGCTCCAGGCATGCGCTCTTTGGCCATAGGTGGCAGCACTTGACGAGCCTGAGCCGATCAAGATTCGCAGTGTTCTTGAATATAAATGGATGAGCACGTGCTTTTAGAAGCACGCGTGATTTCACGAATTAAATTGATGTGGATATTGTTCCACGGAACTAGTTCATGATGAATTTAGCCGAAATATCTCGTGCATGTTCGATGAGTCCGTAAAGGAAAGAAGGACCAAAATTTGCTATTTGGAAGCATTTGGTTTGCTTCCAAATGTCTAACCGTATACGGCGCAGCTGGGACATATGTGGTCCTCATTTCAGCTGTTCATTTATTGTGCTAAAGGCAGTTTGACGATTTCAAACAGCCAGTTGCTAGGCAACTAGCTGGAATCATAGCGTTGTTTGAGATACTTTAGCAGGTTGCCCGGCAACGTAGCATGACTGCGTATTCGATGGAACAGAGCTATGCTGATTAAGCATCCTTCTTCACAGCAACGTTTATTATTTTGGTTGAGTTGTTATGAGTTTGCAATTTTGTTAATCAATTGATGCCAAGTAAATGTGGTGCTTTGCTCGTATTTTTCTGTCTTGCATGTTATCGCTAGACAAAAAGTTTATAAAATTTGTCTCCTCAAATGGAAGCTGTGGACATAGATAAGGCTTTTGACGATTTGGTGTTGATTGATCAGATTGAATCGGAGAAGGGTTACAAGGTTAGTTTTACCTCAACCCTCAAAGAAAAGTCGGTTATACTGTCTGGGATTTATCATTAGAGGCTAGCAGCACTCATGCCAAGCATTGTATTCAGCATCATTTTTGTTTGCTTCCCTTTTTCTTAGCAGGGAGTGTCCCGACTTGCATCATATTTTTTTTGTCTTGGTAGTTGTTGACATAAGGTCTGTTGTCGCATGGGTTAGTGGGTGAATACTCTTGGTCGTCTGATCATGGCGGTGGCTTAGAAAAAGAAAAAAAGTCGCCTTGAAACATGATTGTAGCCTGCTTATTATCTGTGCTGGATTTGGAGGGTCTTAAATGTTTTGCAGATTTTAACTGGTGGGTTTCCTGTGTCTGCAATAGGCTTGATAATTGACAATAAACAAAAATGCTTAAGAAATCCTAGGCTAATGCTATAAGAATTTGTTGAGATGACTGTTACTTAATCATTTTATGTAAAATGCATTTTTAACATTCTGTCAACTTTAAATTATTATTCAATGCTTAAATGCATTGAACAAATGGTATTCAGAAGCTACCTAGGGGCCAGAAAGGATTTTCAGAACTGCTTTCCATCCTTATATGCAGCTATGTAGTTGACATGTCTCTGAGTATGTAATTCAGACTGGACATGAACAGTCAATATCCAAGGATTTAAATATTTTCATCAAAGTCTAACCACTGCATAATGAAGATTCTGGCACTTTTTCACTGCATGGAATTCCTTGTTATGCTATGACTGCTAATTTTACTCATTTTCTGTATATGGCTGTGACTTATCAATCACCCTCATCATGTAGGTAATAATACTTTTTTATATCTGTGTCCAGGACGGTTACGAGGTGGGCTGCAGGGAAGCGGCAGCCACCGGCGCTGGACTCGGCTTTCAGAGAGCCGCCCAGGTCGCCTCTGAGGTCGGCTTCTATGAGGGCTTCATCCAGCAGATTGAGGCTTCACTGAACACCTCTGGGGCCTCTGAGGCATCAAACACTACCGCGGACTCTCCATCCACTCCTGTGACCGACCCTGCGTCCTCTGAGCGGGCGACTCGTCAGCTGCGGCGCGCCCGGCCGCTGCTGCTGTCGCTGCGCCGGCTCATCGGGCAGCTGCCGCGCCACAACACTGCCGACAGTGACGTCACGGCGCTGCTGGACGCGATTCGCGCCAAATTCCGGCAGCTGTGTGCCGTGCTGAGGGTGAACCCTGGCAGCAGCGAGCAGCAGCGCGAGATCTCCTTCTGAGACCGGAACAGGACGGTCCGCGGATCTCCAGTGAATGGTGCTGGTGATACTTTGATGCTAGAGTGATTGCTGACAATATTACCAGTAATGTGAGCTGGCTGACTGACTCATCGTTAGGGAAGAAGGTTTTTATATGACATAACTATTTTGTTTTTGTGGTGTGCTACAGTAAGCTACCAGTGCGGCGAATTTCCTTTCGATACCGTCGGTGATCGGACTGCGCCGCTCGCCACCAGGCGGCAGCACCGTCTACACCCTCTCTGCCCCGCCCCATGTCCGGTGAGGACACCATGCGTCCTCCGGTGAGTCTGCGCCGCGTGCACGAGGCGCTGCTGGGCGCCGCCGCCTGTCTGGAGCCCCTCCTGCCGCTGGCCAACAGCTGTATGGTGTCGTTCATTACGGAGGACCAGTGGCGCCGCCTGGTGCCCGGCCCCCTGGCGGCGGCGCTGCTGCAGCTGCCCGCCGAGCAGCTGCTGCGTCTGCCGGCAGCTGCGCCCGACCAGCTGCCGGCTGGGCCGCTGCGCCAGCTGGCCGAGCAGCTTGGACGGCACCGGCTGTCGGGGTGCGGGGTCCTCAGTCCGCCCCCTCCCGTCTCAGCCGCCGCGCTGCCTCTGATGGACCAGTTCTTCAGCGATAAGAAACTCCACGAGGTGGACCGTATGGCGGCGACGGTGGCGCACCTGGCGGCGACCGGCGGAGTTGGTCAGGTGGTGGACCTGGGCAGCGGGAAGGGCTACCTGAGCTCGATGCTGGCTCTGCAGCACGGTCTGGACGTGCTGGCAGTGGAGGCGAATGAGGTGCACAGTCACGGAGCGCAGAAGGTCAACGCCAACATCAAGGTCAGTGGCAGCCCGCGGCGGATACAATGCTCTGGCAGACCTTAGGTCGATTCCGCCAATGGAACGTTTCCCGAGAGATAATTGGGCATAGAGTTTCCACCATGGCCAGTGTTGATGCTCATCAGAATTCAAAATCTGAAGGTACCTGAACAAAATCTTTTTGTTCAGGTACCTTCATAAATGTACGTTGAGCACCATGCATAGAATATTTGAATTTTCACATGATATGTGTGGCTCCAAAAGTAACGTGGTCTCACACAGGACTATCGTAGCCTCTGCCTTCGTATTTCCTGACATTACGCCGCTGCGTTATGGTGACAGTTTTTATGACCGCCACTGCAGGACCGTGGGAGCGGCCCTCCTGTGTCACCGTGTCGTGTAGCGCCCGTCCGCTGTGTCAACAGCCGGTGTGTGTGTCTCCCCACTGACACAGCTCTGTGACACGGTTCTATGACACGTGTGTGTCGCCGCCGCTGACGCGGTGTGTCTGTGTCGTCAGAAATCCTGGGACGCTATCGTCAGTCGCTCGGCCGCACTGCAGATCGGACAGCAGCCCGAGCGGCGCAGTCGAAAATGGAAACGACAGCAGCGGAGGTGAGTGACACAGTAGTCGGTAAAGGAGGGGAGAGCTGTGAGATTGATATTCTGTGTGGTGCGCAGACTGCAGATGGAAACGTGATATGATGTGGTTTTAGGAGACGGCCATTCATAGGCAGGCTGGTGGCGCCGGCGATAGACCTATGAGAGCTCCAGTAATGTGTGGGCAGAACGATACACACCGTCTGCTGAAGGCAGCGTGCCTAGGATCCTTAACCCCAGACGACATAACTCTATTCCCCAAATAGCAAAACTTTTTGTCACGGCAGAGGTTAGGTATAATAATTTATAGGTATGTTTTACCTCGGTACAATGTTACAATGTTACAATGGACGGTACAATGTTACTCTTCAGACGGCAGAACACCTCGAATGGTTCCTGCAGCCACCTCCACCGCGGGCGGCGGCCGTAACTTGTCTGGCTGAGAAGTCACGACGTCTGCAGTGCCGTCGTGTGTTCTTCTAGCAGTGATAACGCCGCAGTCGGAGGACGCCTCATGTCCAGCCGTTCTCTGGAATTGCGACGTTGTCTAGTTTGACACGAGGTCGCCGGCAGTCTTGACCATGACCGCGGCGCATCTCGCCAGTCACCGGCGCCGTCGGCAGTAGCCCACCCATTCCTTCTGCCCCATTCCGCCGCCATTCCGTTGTGCCATTCCGCGGCGCCGGCCGGCCGTCGGCGCCGGGTAACATCGTTACCTTTCGCTGACGACCTGATGGGATTTCTGCCGCCCGTGTCGGGCCGGACGCGCGGTGGACACAGACCAGATTGGATTGTGTCCGCGCCGCGTGACTCTCCTATCTCAGCCCGTTGTGGTGAGTGTACTTCTGTCGGCGTGTGGTGGGCAGAAATCCCTCGGGGAGGGCGCGCTCTCCCCGCTGAATAACGGGGCGGTGTGGAGAGACTCGGCGTGTTTTGAGCGCACAGACGGCCACCAACTTCAGAGGACAACAAAGCCGGCCGGCGCCTCCTTTTCGGAAGCTTTGGACTATGTTTGTAAACACTTCATTCTGGCCGACGGCGCTGAAAACCGGGATGATGAAGGGAACTATTTTGACGTCAGAATGAATGTGACGCTAGAAATATTACCCCCTACATCATGTATTACAGGCTAAATATTGTTGTTGGCGTTAAACATATTATGTTTGCTCTGCATCCAATCATTCTATATGATATAGTACAGATGGTTGTCGTAAGCATACACCCAGATCTTCTTTTCTGGCTCACTCTTAGCAAAATATTATGTTTATATATTAAGTTAACGAGATGGCAATCTATGACAGCAGAGTGTGATCTGGAGGATCACACTCTGCTGAGCAGGGATAACCCTGTCCCTCGGTATTCCTCCCCTCTTTCTCTCCTCCCGTGATGTCGCCGCCTCTCGAAACCGGCTTTATCTGTTCTCCGAAGCTCGGAGCGGTGTCGGACGCCACCGGGACCACCCCGGGGGAAATTCACAGTGATGCACACCGCTCCGATCGGCCGTGTTTTCGTCGGAGAACGTGCCGCCCGCCGGGGACCCTCTGTAGACTCTCGGGGTCCGCAGTGAGGCGGACCGACCCCCGGGTGTAGCTACGAGCAGCACACACACCGCCTAAATTGGCCCTGAGGAGCGAGCGGCGTCCTTGGGAGGGCGGTTTACAGACGAGGTTGTGTTCGTGATCGGGACTGACTGTTGTCGTCAATTGGCTCTGAGCGACGCAGAGCTGCGCGGGGCGGTGCTCGGAGAGCGGTTGGAGGAGGAAAAACGAGCGCTGGTGTGGGGTGGGGACGGGGAGCGGCTCGGAGCTGTGTGTGGTGCTGAGACGATCGAACAACAAGTGGGGTGGAAGTCGCTTATGGGGATTTGGGAGAGGTTTTGTAGTAATTTATGGATTGTTTGTTGTGTAATATCGTTCGCTGCTTTTTCTCGCGGGATGTGTCCAATGTGAAATTCTGAAGTCATTGCTGCTTGGGGATGCATTCGCGCCGGCATGGATTCACTTCGCTTTGGAATAGTAGATGAAGATGGGAAGTCTGGCTTTGTTGCATATATGCAGCTATTAAGGAGTGACCTGTTCTTGATATGGGTTCTCTGATAAAAGGAGTGCTAGAGACACAGCCTCCAGACAGCCCCGCTCCCCTGCGCCGCGCAGCGTCCGGCGGTGTGATTTAGCGGCCGTGTCCACTTGGGCCACCTGCGGCGGCAGTGTCTCTGATTCACGGTCCGTATCTGTCCCCGGCCGGCGGCCCGACCTGACGGCACCCGCGGGACCGATGGCCATCGCCCCGCAACCGGTGAGCTTTCCCAGCGGAAACTTTAGCTAAATTACTGGCCGCCGGAAACTTCTCAGGAACCTTTCCATGGACCGGCTAGAAGTTATTGGCCGCTGGTTTGAGCTAGGTCTGTTTTATCAGAAGCGGGCTCATTTATTTGCTGGGAGATCTGAAATTGAGGACGGTGTGTCGGGGACTGTTTCGTGAAAGCGGTTGAGCGGAGGCTGCTGAATTGCATATTTTTTTATTTTTCCACAGTCGGTATTTGATGAATCGCGTCATATTTTTAGGCGTATGCGGTAAAATGCATCTTGTTGTCACTTTTGATGCCTCAAATATTCGTGACCCAGCATAACCAGTGACGATGCATTGAATTTGAGGAAATAAAGGGAGAGCGAGAGAGAAAAGAAGCGGAAGGAAGATAGAGGGAAACCAGGCCCAGACCCAGACTTCTTCTTAGTATGGTTAGATCCAGACTAGACCAGACCACATCCACATCCAGACCCAGACAAGACCAGACCAGACCAGACCAGACCATTCCTCAGTCCCCCCCCCTCCTCCACTCCCGTATGCGACCATTCCAAACTACCGTCAGAACCGGGACGCAACGCCCGCGCTGCAGCTGGCCATTGGCACGCCCCCTCTGCCGCGCTTATGTCGTTACCCCAGAGTTTACGGCAGCGAAATATTAGCGATGATGATGAAACGAGTGCAGAGCTGGACGTGGCCTTTGTGCCGAATACACCAGACGGGGGCAGATGATGTATAAAGTCTTTGTATGAAGGTCAGCGTTCGTACTGTTACGCCGTGTTGGGATTTGACTGCCCTTTGTGCTACATTTATGAAGATTGGGGATGGTGCTTCCTCATGTCTTATCTGCTGTGGAACGACATGATGTCTGAATATGTCCAGTTGCTGACTCACTTGCCCGAGATTTTGTGTAGGATTTCTGATATGTCGGAGAGCGTGTAATCCCATGGCTTACTGTCTCGGTGATAAATTTCCGAGGGAACACTGGACTGTAAGCAAGCACCAATTCTTTAGAGCATATCTGAACATTTGGAATTTCAGCTGCAATAAGACAACGATATGGCATCGGAACTTCCATGGCAAACATTTTGAATATTTTAAAATGAAAAATCCGGTTTGATAGGGGGCGTTCAAAGCAACTTCAAAAGCATTTGTGCTTTGGAGCTGCTGGACCTCTTCATTCAAGTTAGATATTAGCTTATAGATTATTTTTATTAGCATATCACCTGGTGTCTCAGTGAGCTTTGTACTGACTGATATGATCGGATAGTGTGGGAGCGCTGATCATTGCCGGTATTTTGACCTCAGGGCTCTCAACTCTACTTTCTATAGGTCTGGTGCTTCGGATTATAGTTTGTGTAACCTGAACTGCCCCATTTATGTGCTTGGGAATCCGGCTACCACAGTGGGTCCGATGGTATGTGGTTATTTGGGCTGACCTGACCTGACCCCCGTGTGACCGAACAGCCGCTCCACTGACGTTATATGACCGGACCTGGTCTGCCCCTCTCTTACCCCGTCAGCTGGGACAGATTACTGACTTATGTGACCTGACTTGACCTGCCCCCTCTCTTTTCCTGCAGCTCTAGGACAGATCTGCTGACTCGTGACCTGGCCTGACCTGACCCCCCCTCTCTCTCTCTCTCTCTCTCTCTCTCTCTCTCTCTCTCTCTCTCTCTCTCTCTCTCTCTCTCCCGGCAGCTAGGACAGGTCTGCTGACTCGTGACCTGACCTGACCTGCCCCCTCTCTCCCCGGCAGCCAGGACCGCTCCCGCCACCGCCCGGCGCCGGGCCGTCTGACCCCCGTGGACCAGCTGGTGACCTCTGGCACGCACCTCTCTGAGCTGGTGGCCCTCCACGGAGACGGACACCGACCCGTGGCCGTGGTGGGGCTGCACACGTGCGGAGACCTGGCCGTCAACTCGATAAGGATGTTCAGCGAGATGCCGCAGGCCAGGTGAGACGGTTTGAGAATGGTGGTGGTGTGTGTGTAGGGGGGAGGGTAAGTACGACTTCAGGGAATACCCGCGCTTGAATAATTCGTATGTATAAGTACAACTCGTATTCTGCCTATCACTCTGAACACGCCTTTCTGAACTGTGCTGAAACCATAAAACACCGCCTGAGTCATGCGATACGGCTCGGGGCTTTGTGAATACCGGTGCTGCTGGCTGGCCGGTATGTAAACTGCCCACACCAGTGTGTGATGGCGTTAAGTCCGAACGTGACCTCCTGCCCTACCCTTCTCCCATGCTGTCCCCCACCCCTTCCCAATACTTTTCTGCACTCTTATGTCCCTTCTTTTATTCCCTGTCCCTCCCCTCCCTCCCTTCTATGCCTGTGTCACGAAAAGGGCAACCAAATGTCACGGTGCAGGTGACCCACCAGTCTTGTCGTCATTTTTCAAACACGTCCGTACGGAGCGTGTGTGTTGTGTGTGTAATATGTATTGTAGGTGTCATCTGATACCGCCCGGGACGGAAAATGTCACCCTGGGTCCCCTTCCGGGTCACGGAAAGGTCAGAGGTCAGCCAGGTCGGCCGGGTCAGTCGCCGGGGGCTGTCAGTTTGCTGTGTGTGCTGTGTGGACTTTGTGGAACGAATTCATGGCGTTACGTGGTATGTTGAATGTTGATACTTTGCGACGGTGTTAAACGGTATGACTCAGTTATGTTTCGCTTGGAATGGCACGTGCCAATGAAACACACTGCGGCTTGTCGTGCGGTAAATCACTCACACGTTTTACATACTAAATTTCAGTTAGCACCGTCGTCGTGTTGACTTTTACGGTGAATTTTATGGCGGACAGAGTATGTATTCGGCGGTTGCTGGGGACCCCTTGTCGATAAAACCGCGAGGGACTGCGTCCTGGGGCCATGCGGCGCTGCTCAACTGGGCGCATACCTGTGATGGTGTTTAGCATTAAGTTCGTTTTATATTGGAGACGAGTTCCTGTGGTGTCAATGCTTGGAGTTAACATACTCCTCGTCCTGACGGCCGGGCATATACCAAGGTTAGCATTTCTGTTCGTAGCCCAGAGTTAACATACTCCTCGTCCTGACGGCCGGGCATATACCAAGGTTAGCATTTCTGTTCGTAGCCCAGGCATAATCCGTCTTTCCGTCCTAACCATGTGTGGTGACGCAACTTTTTTTCGGGACAAGTCTGAAATACTTATCTGCTGAGTTTTGCTTCATCTCGTGAAGGTATGGAATACCTACATTGGTCATTTTAGGAGTGTGCCGGGACTGTGTATCCGTCATCTTTTTTAGCCTTCACCTCGTGGCTCTAGATGCACCGTGGCTCTTCGAACCGCGCCATTGCACATTGAACCCACGGTGAACAGAGTCCCACATTATGTATCCTCACGAAGCGCCGTGCTGTGTCTGCAGTAAAGCCGCCGGTCGGATCTCTGGGGAATGGTCTGTCTGACGTCTGCCCCATCTTCCCCTCAGTACGTGATGGGGTAGCGTCTGTCACGGATAACCGCAGACCCTTCGTGAGCTGGATTCTACCGTGGCCAGTATAACCCCTGATGTTCATCGCGGGTATGAACTTTCGGTGACAGATTTTGATAAAGTGTAAATCGTGACGTGGCCACTTTGGTTTTATTGGTCAGGTCATGCGATCCGTGCGAATCTGCCTGATTATGCATGGGTTTGGCCTTAACTGAATGAGATCAGCTATGCACACATGTTGAAATAAATTGCAGATTTGATTGCAAAACCTCATATTGCGTGAATATCATTCTGCCGTGTTTTTATCTTATGGGAGACAGTCATGCCCCCGCATAAATGTCATATTGCGTCAGTTTCAACTAAACCGAAATTATTTTCTAGGCAAATAAACCGTGAGCTCCCGGGACAGATACCCTCTGTTGCTAACACTCTGGAATCTAATCACTACCACCCCTCCTCTGCGTAATGCGGGTTTCGTTGAGCTGACGGGCCGTCCCGCCCCGTCTCCAACCGTGTATTGTCCGCCCCCTCGGCGACTCGCTGAATGAACTGTCAGCGACTGATGGCGTCCGCAGCAGCGAGCGACGACCCTTCCGCTGCCGCCACAGCCGCGACGCCACTGTCGTAACGACGATGCCGACGACAACGATGAAAACGGCGGGCGTTGGGGACTACTATGCCGTGTATTTATACGGCTGTAAACATGCAGTGGCTGCGTGAGATGTGATATTGCGTCGATCGTGAGGCGCGCTGATGAGATATGTCGTGTTCCAAGGACTTCTAAGATGTGTCTTGGCGGGATGAGTGGACCGTAGCTGACGAGAATCACGCTAATTTATCGCGAAACTTTGGGCGATTCTTCATAATGACGCCAGTGCTGGAGAAGGGTTGGAGGATTTGTCGTTTATCGTCTGCTTGATACGGGAATGTGGTGCGATTTGAGCTGGCGGATGCGGTGTGATGGGTAGGACTCAGACCCGTCTCACATCGTCGAGATGGTATTGTGGACTATTGAGAGCCGAAAATGACATGCTCTATGAAATGGTTCGAGACTTGAATGTCATAAGAGCGTTCCTTGCCTCTCTGGTCGCTACTTCAAACTGTGCCACCACTAAGTTTCGGGAGCTGTGGTGCAGTAGAAGCTGTACTGCAGCTGCTTTGCCGTAGAGATGTGCGACGAAGCTGCGACGTCGCAATTCTGCGGAAGCTGCTCTGTCGCAATGCTGCGGAGCTGCCCTGGAACTGTCGCGTTCAGCCGCTCTCTGGAGATCGATTGGTGTCACGCACTGTCGTATCTCACCCGCCAGAGGTCCCCAGCAGCCAGCGAGCCACCCATTCCCCGCCCCACCAACCGCCGGCCGTTTACCAGTTACCAGTTACCACCCCGGTATTTGTGGGCACCGCCGAGAGCGCCCGTTACCGGTGCTCGAGGCCCAACGACCCAGCCACAAATTGTGACAGAATGGTCCGCGGGAAATTGGTTGTTTGATGGTAGTGTGATCTCCCGCTATTGCAGTGTGGTTTGAAATCGAGATGACGGCGCTATAGAACAGATTGGAAAACATCACATCAGGCCTCTTGTTCTGTGTAAAATAACTTTATTTTTATGTTAGCTGGATCGTGTCGAGGTAACCGATCAAATTGCCTGACAACTCATGTAGAATGTGTGCGATATTGTGGCTGTGTCCGTCTGCCTATCTGGCTAGTTGCTTGGTCTTCATATGTTTGTCTGTCTATTTGTCTGTCTCTGCATGTCTGTTTATCGTTTGTTTATCCGCCTACCACTAACCTCCGTTCTCCTCTATCTGGCAGTCTATTGGTGAACGTCGGCTGTTGCTACCACCTGCAGCGGGAACGGTTCGAGTGTCAGTTCTGGGCTGACCTTGACCTGCAGGAGGTCAGTTTCCCGCTCAGCCGCCCACTGCTGGAGCGCCGGTTCGCGCTGGGTCAGCAGGCCCGCGGACTGGCCGCCCAGGCCTCCGAGAGGATCGCTTCCTACCAGCGGGTGCGTACTCGTATACCGGGGACGGCCCACCGTGCGCGCCGCCAGCCCATTTACCGTAATTGGATGAGTCTGTTTTCATTGGAACATTTTTACAAGACGGGATAATCTTGTCGGAACGAATGGATATTGTTGTGAAGTTTGCTCGAGATAATCACGTCAGCTATTTTGATAATACTGGAGAGAGACGCTGTAAGAAGGGCTACTTGTGCAGCGGGAGGGTCTCTAAGGAAGGCTATGGTAAACTTCTAAATTATTCTGGAATCTCTCGGCCTGGGGCGGCTGTCTGCAGTTCTGGTCGCTCCCGGACCTTTCACTTGACCCAGTCCGACAGTTTCGGCGACTTCTGCTGACTCGCTGGCGATAGCGCCACGCTGTCAGCTCTCCAGAGTTGATATTCACCAGTGGCTGTTGAAATATCCATCTTGGAATTGACTTCTGTGAAAAATATCAGACCATCACAGCTCGCTGTTGACTGGGGCTTTGATCAGAGTGATATTTGGCGCAGCAGACGCATATAGCGCCGCGGCTAGTGATGTTTTATGCGTATGGAGTTGTGTGGTCGGAGTGGGCTTTGAAGAGAGATGGCGTCATCGGAAGGGGTCTCGATGGGGTGTTCCCAGTGTCACCGTATTGAGTGCGTTTGCGCCCGACCTGTCCACGCTCGTTTATCGCCACCATTCAGTCGGTGCTTTGAAATGCATGCGGATTTGTCAGTTGTGGTCGATCCGGGCTTGTGTTGTGCCATTTCCTGTATTGCGTCACAACAGTTTACTGTTAGGTTACATGCTGCCGATGATTTATTAATGACTTGACTAGTGACTACTTACCTATTGCTTTTGGTACTGCTGTTGATTTTATAGTTCACCTAACAACACTTAACTCTAAAGGTTCCGAGACATAACTGAAACAGTCCCCTTTGACGTTTATTGAGACACTCGGTGACTGCCCGTGTTTCACAGAAGTACACATTTCGTCGGCAAAATTAAACGACGTCTTGCCTGGGGAGTTTGCCGTCAACAAACTCTGTCCGCGATTTAACTCAACTGAGAGATAACAGGCTGACAGGCGAAATTCAAACAAATTTGGCGTCATTATAGAGCAGACATTGTTTTAGTTGGTGGGACGATTTTTCTAACATCTTATCGTTCTACTCACCAATGTCAATCAGCTTCTAGCTGTTGGAGATTTGGCAGGCGGGAAGGCGGTTCGGTGAAACATCTGCCTAAGAGAACGCTTCAAATTGTACTAAAAGTTTACCTTGCTATCGCGCTAATGCTGTTTTTTTTTGACACTCAATTAATGGATGTGACTAAGGTTCAAGATATATATCTTATTAATGTAATAAGTAGACATCACATGCGTTGATGATTGCTTCTAATTAGGGATTAAAGTAACATTTAAGTTAGATTTTTAGTTCTTATTTGTTTCATTCGTATCCTAATTACTGCAGTGGCCCCCCGCGTCTCAACTCTGTGTTCTTGAGCATGTACTCCCTGCTAAGTGACATCTCACGTTACTGACGTTTCTGACTGCTTACGTTCATCTTAGTCGCTGTAGGCTCAATGCCGTGTAAAATTACATGCCTATATTTCCCGTTCTCTTTTATCGCATTCCAACTGTTCTCTCTAATTGTTTGTTTCAGCCGCCGTCTCTGTTCCTCTACTACATACCGCGCGGTACTACACGTCCTAGCTGTGTGTCCCTTTCTGTTACATTTGCTTACTGTTTCCGCTCTGTTCCAGCCGCCGTCTCCGTTCCTGTACTACCGCGCGGTACTGCAGGTGTTTCTCCAGGACCGTCTGGGTACCGTTCCCACCGATATTATGGTCGGAAGATTGGCGAGGAAGGCCAGGGATTACCTGGACTATATGCACATGGCGCTCAGCAAGTACCCGCTCGACCACAGGGTGAGTGTGTGCTTAGTTTAGTAACTGAGTACGGAGACTGGTACATGGACGCGGATTTAGACTGCCGGCAGGATGGCAGTGTGTGCTTGTGGCCTGTGGAACAGGGGAGGGGTGCAAGGTGTGTGGTGTGTGACTGGTGCGTACAAATTCAGAGTGAAAGATCTCATATCCACGGAATCACAGGTTTCATATGCTCGGATTCGCATGTCCCCTTTACACGATGGTACAGCTTTCGTACAGATGAGGCTACAGGTTCAATATACGCAGAGGTACACAGTCGATCCCTGTGACCTGTATCTATCCAAAGTCACGGTTCCGCCTTCCTAACTGTCCATGGCAGTAGTTAACGGCTGGAGTTGGTCGGGCGGTGGTGGCCGACGTCGCCGCAAGAGCGCGTGTCTGCCTAACTTACGGTGAAACTCCGCCACCGCCACCCACCGGCTGACCTCTGTCCCCCGTCCCTCCCCGCTCGCCATGACAGTGATAGCTTGTTGAAAGTGATATCGGTGTGTTACGTTATGGAAACCCCTTCAGTGAGTTTGATACCTCCCGTCATGATTCCTGTGGAAACTATTCCACTGCATCACAGGCTTGTCACAGAGTTTCCGCACGACCTGAAGGCGATGTAATGGCTTTGGTGACTCACTTTGAATGCTCGAGATCGTCCAAGATAACCGAATGATGTGACAGTTAATATTGTCACGGGGGTGTGACAGACTTCACGTAACCGTCTGGGAAACTCCACAAACTCGTGTTTCTCTCTGGGCGTTACACCCTCTGTGACCGTTACGAAAGCCTCACAGAGCGTCCTTGCACCCCGTGACCGCAGCTGTGTTCCCGTTGACTGTCGGTACAGACAATCCCCCGACCCTCAGCCGTACCCAAACCGCGCCAGGTAGTTCTGTGTACAAGCCCAGGCGGACCCCGTGGACACTGCGAGCTCACTCCCAGAAATGGGGGCATTATCAGGCAGCGTTCGTGGTTTGTGTTCATTGCGTCACGGAATGTTGGCTTGGAAGGCAGTCGGTGCCGGGTGGTATGCCATTTGCATTGCGAGAATGTTGTGGCGAACGTAGGACATAGATATTGCTAGCCATCAAATGCAACAGCTACGACTTAAATCGGAATTGATGGTACTTGTATGTCCATTGGGGCTTTCTGGTTACCTATAAACCAATTTGGGGACAACCAGGGTACAGAGCTAGGCTCGGTGATTAATTCTACCCGCCTATCATTTAATCCTATCGGACACAATTTCACCATTATCATTTGACGGGTCACTAATTTCCCATCCATGTATTCCAATTTATCACCCTCTCGTCTAATCACTCTGTGCTTAGTGTAGAAACGATAACACCTCGCACGTCTCCAGTCCTCTGAGTTGTGAGTGACACTCCCTCTTCACTTCTTTCCGCTGCACACCGCTGTTCGCTGTCTTTCGCTGCCGTCTACCACTGTCCCTGTGGGCGTGAAGAAGTGTGGGGAGTCTCTGAAACCGACTCCAAACGGCCCCGTTCGTCGCACCGCCGGCCCGTAACTGCGGCTTATGCAGATCGCTCCCTGACGTACGGCCGAACACCGCCAGACTCCCCGCTGCTCCTGACCAACCGCCGTGCTCTGTGGCGTGCTCAGCGTCCTCAGAAGCCGTGCTCTGAAGCCGTGCTCTGCGGGTGTGCTCGCGAGCCGTGCTCTGAGAATGGCCGTCTGGCCGTGACCCTTTCGTGGTAATCTCTGGCGGAGCTCTCAGAAGTACTGTCTGAGAGAGCTGTGCACTGTCCAGCCGATCTCACTGTGAATTGAGCCGTGACATTGAACTGACAGTTACGCTTTGTTGGATTGCTTCATCGGGATGTTGAGGGCCGCGCACAGCTGGTATATGACTGCTGTCCATATTCCAATCCCATCTTGCTGTCGTCACTATGTCGTTTGTTTCACTGGACCACCTAGCTTCATCGTCACTTCGTTGGCTACCGGCGCACGACGTGCACCCGCAGTTCAGCCACTGTGCTTCTGTCGTCCCGGCCCCGTGACCCGTCTCATCTTGGTCACTGTCAGCTCTGTCAGAGGTGGAACATGGGCTTGATTTGTTACCACGAGCCGTGCTCACATCCTACCCCTGGCATTCGCTTGGCGTTGCAAGCACTTGATAACTAGTCAGCGAAATATCAGCAGGAATTAGCCAACAATTTCGAGTTTCAAATTTATACGTTTCCCCTGCAAATGTGTCGTTTCATTTGGATTGGGAGTGATTGTCGGAATGTTTGCTGGTTGAGAGACGGATGGTCATTGGTCACTGTCAGGGCTTATTAAGATGTGCCACCGGGGACACGGGCACGCCGTCATGGTTTGTGGAATGAAGCTAGGACGATTGCAGTATGCACCAGGTCATATTTTACGTCTTACGTAATGTCGGGGAATGATGATGATTTCAGACTTCCAGGCTCAGACATGAGACGACGATTTCTGTATTTGGTGCAGATGAATAAGGTCGGGGTCGTAAACAAATGATTAAATGAGGAATTCAGGGTGCACGTCAGAATAGCTAGTGACATTTGAGCTAGTGACTTTTCAGCTAATGCAAAACAGCTAGTGCCTCAAAACAGCTAGTGACAAAATCGCTAGCGTCAAAATAGCTAGTGAAACAAAATGGCTAGTGCTTCAAAACAGCTAGTGACAAAATCGCTAGAGTCGAAATAATTAGTGAAGCAAAATAGCTAGTGGATCAAGTTCGCTAGTGGCAGAATAGCTCGAGTCAAATGAAAAAATCCCTCTACTGAGATGGTAGCAAAGACATCGCGGAGGGCCCTAGGTTGGCCAAATTCAAAGTCAATTATACACGTACGTTGTCGTAAATGACTTAGTTTCGTAGATTTTCGGTACCTATGTTGCCAAAGGTTTTTCCCAGAAGACGTAAACGTATACCCTCTGAGACCACCTGCGCCCCTCTAAAGCACCGCGTACAACCACGTTAATCTTGCATATTTGACTGAAACTGAAAGTCACTGGTCAGATTTTTGTCAGATCAGTAACTTTCATGTCAGATCAAACTTCTTACCTTCGAGCATCCATGCATTTTTCTTCACCAATTCGTCAAACATCTGATCGGTCGCAAAAGTATGATTCGGTCATTAGGTCGTACTTACAAGTTACAACTGCTTCTCCTAGCCTAACAATTCTATTTTTTCTGGCGTTTGGATTCCTGCTCTAGTAACCGGTTCTGGTGCATAGCCTTCGAGCCTTCTTCTTTTCCTTTGAAGCCTTAAATAAATGTTCGTGCATTTTGGCGCCATGGCCTGCACCTCAATGCCAACGTTCATGTCACAATCTTCTTAAAGGACCCGTCGGGAAAGAATTCACACTAGCTGCTCGCACTTCGTAGGCACTAGCTATTTTGCTTCACTAGCTATTTTGACGCTAGCGATTATAGCACTAGCTGTTTTGAAGCACTAGCTATTTTGTTTCACTAGCTATTTTGACGCTAGCGATTTTGTCGCTAGCTGTTTTGAGGCACTAGCTTATTTGTACTAGCTCAAAAGTCACTAGCTCAAATGTCACTAGCTGTTTTGACGTGGACCCGGAATTCATTAACGAGAAGATTCATAGCTTAGGAACTATCCGTGCATTTCACTGGATGGTAAGCAGTTCAGCTTAGGCTGTTGTGGTTATTTGCGTTCATGAGCGAATCGCTTTCTTCTCTTTCTCTCGCAACAGGGATTACGTTTCTAAATCTAAAGTACTAAATCTAAAGTACTTTAAAAGCTCAACATGCCTATTTATATTGCACAAAAGTTGCGAAACGGTTCCCCTGAAAGAAATATACTGAGTGCTGGCATTTCTGATGCTCAGATTACAGGTTATTTTCTGTTATTTATGCGAAAACTTTGAACTAAGCCATCAACATTAGCTTTCAGCCCAACTTATAACAAAAATCACACAGTTCGCCGAAACTGTTGCCCTTAACAAACCAGTCATGAGAGCAGCGTGAAATATGCGCCCATAACGGCTGCCGCTAAAGGGCCGAGTCTGATCGGTCGGCTCGGTCACGGCCCCGGTTCCATGTCACGGAGCGGTGGACAGTCTAAGTCGGCCTTCCCCTCGTGATCCGACCATCTCAATAACCCCGGCCCGGTCCGTCATCAGTTGAACGCCAATCCCGGGACAGAGCCAATATCGTCCGTCAGATCAGATAGGAAATCAGCGCAGTCCATTCTCCGTAAATCTCCACTGCCACGGTTTGATGGAGGGCCGTTTTCAGGTGCTGGTAATGATGTGGTGTGGTTGGATATGCCGTCGTCGCCGCCACTACTGTAAATGGCGTGCCTTCGAGGCTCACGTGGCGGTAATCACTATTGGACGATGGAGTATTACCTGGTACGCGAGCGTGAATTACTCAATCTGGGCCGAGTTGATTCGGGAACGCTATGAGCTAATCTCATTGGATGAACCGATGGTTGGCTGCTGAAGGCGTTTTAAACATTTGGGTGTCTTTTATGGGCCACAAATCTTATTTTCGAACCGTGGTATGTAATGAAATGAGCTGCCTTGTGATGCATCTGAATAAAGCTAATGTCTCGCAGTCTGAAGACATGTTTCGTTTTTTTTTATTATATTGGTCACATTTACCGTGTCCATGTAAGAGCATGCAATAAGCACATGTCCAATGTCATTTCCACCGAAGGTATTCAGGCTCAAACACGATCCAATTTTCGATGTCGTGAGCGCGATGTCAGTGACATTGTCACGCCGGTGTCGCCTCCTGTCGCGTGTGTGTCGGGTACGACGGTAATAGGGCGAGCTGTCCGAGTGGCAAGTCGGACTTCCGGGTGTCACTGAGACTGTCGGAGGATGTTTAACTGCAGAGTGCAGACGAGTTATTAGGCGCCTCGCCATTGCTGGAGAAACTCATACGGATCTTACGCAGAACGTATTTCAGTTTGAACAGTGGAACTCTTTCTGGCAACTTATCTCCACTTCACACGCTATGCGCCGGAACCTAAAATTGAAGCACTTCAAAGAATGTTGACTTCAAGGCCTCTCGAGGATAGACAGTTGATCTTCATGCATCTCTGTGCATCTTGACAGCAAGTTAATAACTTGCCGATACCGCGCTTATTTAATTTCCTGAATCTGTTTTCAATGCGGTTCTTGTTATACCGTTTTACCCTCGGTAATAGCTGGCTTGAGGCGCGTTTGACCCGTCCAAAACACCCCGCTCGGTTTGGTATTATTCGGTAGCTGCTGCTGACTGCTGCCCTGTGCAGCTGCTCCGGGCAGTAAACTGACGGCTGGGCGCGGGCGGCGTGACCTCCGCTGAATTACCACGTCAGCCTGTCAACGGCAGACTGGCAGCGGTAGACTGCTCGGCAGACTAGCCCGCAGAGTGCAGACTGGCAGCGGCAGACTGGCCGACAAGTTGGCCGGCAGAGTGGTCTGTAGCTGTGACCAGTCTGTTCCGTCTGGCAGGCCCGAGACGCTGGCTGATGTGACCCAGCCGGACCTGGCAGGTGGAGAGGGGAGGGGGCGACGCCACACATAACGCTTTCCGGCGCTCTGTCCCGAGGAAACGTCTCATCCAGCCTCCGGCGTGCGCCTCTTGCTGACTGATGCGTAGTTGGCTAACGTCAGCCTCTTCTGTGTAATTGAATTTTGTCCAGCGTCGCTTCTGAGAAGTGTTCGATCCCGTTCTCTGGGGATTCAGTTTCTGATGCTAAAACGGCGCTCAGACCCTGAGCTAGTGGGATCTTCTGTCATAGGTGTTTTCGTCAGAACCAAGGGGAACTTATTATGGAGTGTCTGCCTTTTTTGGTGACTGTAATTATGGCGCTGTCAATAGTAATACTCAACTGTCGCATCTAGCAACAGTCCTAGAGAGCATGCCAAATGCTGGTGACTTTCTGATGCCAGGTAGTCCGAAGAGGATAAAACCAAAAGCCTCGCGCCCGAACTGAAATGTTTCAGAGCCTTCTAAAAACACTTCAGACACTCGTACCAAACTGTGCCGCTGAACGAGTTCTCCATTTGGCCGCTTCATGATCAACATCGACTGACAGGAGCTGTCTTCGAGGGCCATCCGAGTCTGGCACTTCGGACGTGTAATTGTTTGTTCTGGCGAGGACTGCACCTAATAGAAGAGTTCGTTGCTGCACCGTGTCGGGCGCAAGCAGTTGCAGTTGAAGCTCAGATGCTAGGTCTGTTCGTTTGTTGGAATTCAACTGGCAGCTACTTTCGATCAGTCTGTTGTATCTAAAGTGGATGACGTAGGAGCGGTCTCTCTCTCTCTCTCTCTCTCTCTCTCTCTCTCTCTCTCTCTCTCTCTCTCTCTCTCTCTCTCTCTCTCTCTCTCTCTCTCTCTCTCTCTCTCTCTCTCTCTCCTCTCCCTCGCTAATCTCACCCGTTATCTCCCTCACACGCGGCTCCAGTGAGTCGGCCGCGCCGAGTCCTCAGACGAAGTCCCTGCCCCGGAGAACTTTGACACCGTCCCGTCCGTCCAGATAAGAGGCCCGAGATCGGTCGGCGGCGGCAGGAGCGGCCAACTTGGCCCGTCCATCAATCTCTGCGGTCGGCCGGGCGCGCGGGTGCCGCCGAATTGTGGTGACACTGGGGTTTGAGCGGCGCTAGAGCCCCACTGATTAGTGTCAGGGGTGTCCGCCGCGGCGGCGCCCCGGCTCAGAAGTTGTCCCGTGTCCGCCCATGCGTCAGCGCTGTCTCGCGGACTGTCAAATGGAGCCGGAACTCCTGAGATGACGCGTGATAATCTACTAACTCAGCCCGGCCGGCCGCCGAGCGCAATACAAATGGCCCAGATACGGCGTTAGTCAGCTTTCAGATGAACTTAATCAACAGTTTATCAACTGTCGGCCACGGGTCGGACGATTGCCAATCATTTCTAAAAGTCATTCGGCGCCGGCGGTCAATCAATATTAAGCTCCGAGTTATTGAACTGTCGGGCGCGGCCAGTGAGCAGTCAAATGGTGGCGGCGCGGTTTGCAACTGTGAGATTTCCGCCAGTCGTGAATGGGATCGTCAATTTAGGCAATGTAATCGGGATGTATCCAACGGGATGATCACTGAGATTGGGGCGATGAACCAATGCAGAGACCCGGCGCCAAATTCGTCTATTACTGTGTGGATCGTTCGCCACTTTTGTCTCGTCTGTACTGCGCCATTCTTTGGTCTATCCTAACCGCTCTGCCTTTCTCATCTATGCTAACTGCACCATGTCTCCCTCGTGTTTTCTAACCGCGCCATGTCAGTCTCGTTCTAACTGTGTCTTGTCTGCCTCGTGTTTTCTAACCGCGCCGTGTCTGTCTCGTCTGTACAAACTGCCGCTCGGCGCCGGGGCCATGGAGACTGGCCGTTGCCGACTCCATTTGGAATGCATTGGATTTGTCTGTCGGCCGGTAATCGGATGCAAACAGCCCTCTGTCGGGTCTGATGCCGCGCGATACGCCGACTGCAGCGCTACGCCCCATGAATCCACAACCACGCGCCGCGTGCCGAGTCGCGTCGGTCGGCTGGGCCCCGAGGCCGACTCTCGTGGGTGTGGGTGAGTTGGCGGACCGGCCGGGGATGTGTCTTAGTAAAACTCCGCTGCCGCCGCCGGCACGTTGTTAGCTTGGTTAGCGCTCTGGTTCGTCAGTTAGCTCACAAGTTCCGATGTCGCCATCGTTTCGTCGACTCGCCGCTCCGCTCGGCTGGACTCGGCCAAGTTTGTATTTGGCTTCGTTTGTCGTTTCTACGAGCAGTCGCCGCTAACTTTCTGCGGGCCCCGATGGTCGCACCAATTCTGCCTTTAAACACGACCTGTTTTGGCTCAATCGGTGCGGCTCATTCGCCACTGCCGCGCCACTCTCGCCGCCGGCGACGTGCGACGTTAACGACGCAACCTCATCAGCCGTTGATGTGGTACAATTACGGCGTGCGCGCGGCGCGGACGGCAGTGTTGGGCCACTGCCGACGGCCTGAGACCGGGGCGCGGACAGCTTACCCAGCTAATCAGTCCATGCATATTGCATACGGAGGGCCCCGCGGCAGCCGGCCAAGTGGCGCTGAAGCGACGCGGAAGGAAGCTGCCTCTCCAGATGCCGGCGCCGCTGATGGTATACACAAGTGGATGCCGGGAGAATGCCGGGGCCGCTGATTTTGGAAGACTGTCTACGCACCGGTCGGAAACAGATGCTTTCGCGACATTTAAATAGCAGTAACATGCAAAGCTCGATTTCCTTATTGGATTTTACTCTGTGAACGAGGCTGAGTTATGTTCGTGTTGCTTATTTATGTTCCGTCTCAGTGATTCATTCCTTTCGTCTTGTCGACGTCCTCAAAAGAACCGGCTACATTTGCAGAATACATGAGGTATGCGCTTTTACGACTCGCCCTTTCTTCCAGCTGTTGAATTTATTTCCCCTGGTTAATGGTTATGACCGCAGCCCTACGGGCGCAGGACGGTCCTCTGTGACCGCCGGCGGACGGCAGCCATCACTGTCCTTCACTCCTGTGGGCCCGGTCGGCGCTAACTTGACGAGAAGTTAGTGGGCCGCGCCAGACCAGCGCCGCCTTTGTCCTGCAGTGCGAGGCTGGTCCGTCGTGGGTCGGGGTGTGCTGGGCTGGGTCTCAGTGGTGTTGGTGAAAGATGTGTGAACTCTTGTCCAGTTTGATCGGTTAGTTCAGTATTTTCTGTTCTCGACTGCTGGCTGTAAGGGGTGCGGCCATATGATTTTTATCAAACTTGAGTCCGGGGACTAATGACAAAATGGCCTGTGTCTCGGATATTGGGTTGAATCTAATCACCAAGCTCGTTACCTACTTGCTGCCCACTTTTAATTCTCATTTTGAACTTTTGGCGCTCTTCTTTTGAGTCTTAGGAACTAAAGTTCTTATCCTAACGACAAATGGAAACAAACTTTGGAAGCTATTTGACATTCTGAAGTGCATTGGTTTTATTGATTTTATCCTTCTTATGACCATTTAAACGATTTTAAATAGGAAGATGTGTTTGCGAGAAGAAAAAAAAACTGATAAAACTACGAGTTCGACTGCAGCAGTTCTCGGTGATTTGTCTTCTCATCTGAGGCGACTCGTCTGGCACCGCTGCGGTCGACAAACAAGGCATCCATCACCGTTCGTTCCCCGCGGATGTGACCGCCGTATCGAGCGATGTGGCCGGCGGAACGACCGCGCAGACGACTTGTGGGACGATCTCATCCCCAGCAGTCCCGGCCGGCGCCCTCCACCCACCCCAGGAGCGCCATCGGTCACGGCTTTCAGTCACCCCTGACCGCGACAGCCCCTAGTTTAGCCTCTTCCTGCTTTCTGCGCTCCCCTTGCCGATCGACGCCCTCTTCCGGCCAACATCCTTCCTGCCTCTCTTTCCCTCTCCCTTCACTTTCTGTTTCTAGGATCCTCCGCCCTCGTCCCTCTGTCTCTCAGACCCTCCTTCCTCTGTCTCTGGGGCCCTCTTTCCTCTATCCCTCACACCGAGTGCGTATGGGTGTCGGTGATATGGCATTGAGCGCGGACTAGCATTGTGTCGCCGCCCCAACCCCGCAACAGGCGATGGGTGGTGCGATGACAGGGAAAGCTCGTCACTGGTGGGCTCTCGTGTGTGACTGTTGTGATGATTACTGACGGTTTTGATAACATTTAGTGAGGATGGTGTGTGATTGGCGAAGTTAGGACTTAACAGACACTGGAAAGAGTGATAGTCTCTCGTAGTAAATGGAATAGCGTCTTTGTCTCTCTTAGTCTGGAAAGAGCGTCTTCTGTCGGCCCTTGCTCTGTTTTGGTGTGTTTAGTCCACAGTTACTTACTCTTCACTTGCTTCTTTATCTTGAATACGGTCTGACTTGTGCACGAAGTGCTCTCAGGTTCTCACCGGCCCCAAGCAGAGTGAATGCTCCCCTACCGTGAATGCTGAAGCGTCCTTGCTCCATCCCCCCTCCCTTTCGCTACTGCTGTCTGTGACCCTGACTGTATCCCTGTCTCCCCGGCAGGCGGTGTCGGACGCCGAGCTGCTCGCCTACCATGACCGTCTGCTGGAGCACCGTCCCCGTCTGGAGGCGTTCAGCGTGCTGAGGTCCGCCCTGGCGCCACTGGTCGAGGCCGTCCTCCTGCTCGATCGACTGGCCTTCCTCATGGAACAGGTCAGTGGGGTCAGGGGATGGGCTGATCTGTTAGAGGGGCTGGTCAGTTACTGGGGTCTGGGGCTGGTCTGTGAGGATGGCGTCAGTTTTGTTAGAGGAGGTAGTATCTGTGTTGGAGGGAATCAGTAGAAGAGGAGCTTTAACTGGTCTGTCGAGGAAGCTGGTCTATCTGCTGCAACAGGTCAATGTGGGGAAGACTGAAGCGGGTTCGTCAAAGAGGCATCCGCCATGTTGGAATAGGTGAAAGCGAAAGTCAAAACGTCTTTTAAAATAGTTCACCTTTTTGAACCGGATTTGTGTCAGAGGAGCTCTGGAGAAGGAAGGGGAGCTTGTCGCTGTCGGTACAACATAGTTGCAACACAAAGGTCAAGCTATGACGCGTTGGCTAACGGAAACATCAAATTAAAACGCCAAGTGTCAGCCGTTTCTACTTTTGTAACTGCCACAGTTAGTTTTGCAGCAATAACTGGCGTTGTTGTTGGCCAGAGGAAATCATTATAGTGAGTAAACGTTTGCATTGCTAGAAAGGCCCCGTCATGTAATTCGTAAATATATGTAAAGAGAAGTCATGACTTCGCCGCATGCCACCCACACCGTTGCAGATTTATAGGCACAGCCCTGGCTTCCTGTTTCAAATATTCCCTTTGCAGCAACACCACTCTTGTAAATTGTCTCGGCTTCCGTTTATGTAAACCTTGTATGTCCACAAACCACGACTTGGCTCGCTGCGTTAAAAATGCCGACGGCGACGCTTTACGTATTGATCAGTCGTGTCCTTGGACTAGTAGCCGTGTTTGTTCATTCTAGCGTGTGCGTTTGTTGATTTCTCCGTACGAGGTGGCTGTGTTTGTCGACTCGTTTGTCTGTGTTTGTCCGCGCGGCTGTGTGTGTTTTGCCGGTCCGGGACGCGCGTGTGCTGCTGGCAGCGTCTGATGTGATTAAGGGTCAGTTGGAACTGAACAGGACCGGTCTGTGTCGCTGCAATTGGTCTCTCTGGCCGGACACGGAGCTCGGGGAGACGGGGAAGGAGAGAAATCTGGCGAGGTGTCGCAGAAATCCCGGCTACAGGTGGTGAGGGAGGGAGGTGGTGGCAAAGAACAGTGGAGGCCGCTTTGATGTGCGTCTCAAGAGCTGGATATCACGATAGCTAGTGCAGAGTTATTGGATAGAAATATGACAGCTAAATCAAGGAATCTGGATGACTTATTCGAGTATCAATTTTTTTAGACAAATTTTGGCAATGTCGGTCGTGGGTTTTATTTGTTATGTTTGGGTGTATATTTGCCCTGATCGGGTCCGGCATGGATTGGCCTTGGCGCTGGCCATTTTTTCGAAAACGAGTTTTGAGATGGTCCTGTCTCGCTGGATGATGCTGACCGCAGTGACCAGAACCAGCTGAATATCATTGGAATTCAGTCGGCGAGACAAGCACCGCATCCCGCATTAATGAGTTTCATGGAAGCGCTGACTTTTGCCAGGCTACAAAGAGACTGCTGGGCTTGTATTCATGCTAAGACACACATTCAAATGGCTGCTTCTGCCGGACGGCGGATCACAAACCGTCGGAACGTGGTCTTGTTACGGTCGGGGACATGCATACAAATTGGTGTCGTTTGGAAAAGGACCGTTATGAAAGCTTAACCAAGGCCAGTCGGGTGTAGTGTTGCCATGCCGATCAGACTCGATAGTGTTCTGGAATATGGTTATGTTGATGGTGGCTCACCGAGCGCTTCAGCGCCCTTCCACTTTCCAGAGCCTTGAACCAGCACCATTTTTTTTTTTTGCGAATATCATCTCTAGACCACATATTATGTCCCCTAACCGCCAACAACAGTTTTCCCGAACTGGGCCCACTTTCTCCCCGAACTTCCACCTCCCCGACCAGGCTAAACCCCAACTAAACCATTGATCGCCGCTTGCCGGCGGATTTCTGGGTGGGGCGCTGACTTCCTCGAACTCTGTAGCGGGGCGAGAGCCCCCTGAATGCTGCATGTCGCTCGCCCGACCGGCGCGGCGTGCTGGCCTGGCGCGAGCGGGGATGAACTGCGACACCCAGCGGTCCCTGAGTCTGACCGGGGAGGGGAGGAAGATGTTTGATGGCGGAGCTGAAATGGTCGCCGCTGTGACAATGCTCAGCAGGAACGAGTGGCATTTGTAACTCCCGGCCCCAGCCGCCGTGAGGTTGTGGAGCCGAGTTGTTTGTGACGCCGGGTAGCTTTGTCAGATGTTGAGTTGTTGTTTTAGTGCTCTCTGCGATGAGCCGTTACCTTTTATCGGCATCATTTGGCGTGAGGCTGCTGGCATGCGAACCAAAAGAGTTTCCCCACCACCCAATCATCAAGACACGCCTATCGGCCGTAAAGTCGCCCTGTGAGGCTGTTTATTAGGGATAACCGGCAAACATCCCAAACTTTCTGCAATCGCTGCGCAAGTTGTCGGGGTTTAGCTCGCCCTGCTGCGATTCACTCCCGCCTCTGGGGCTGCCGTTATCCGTCTTAGAGCCACTGGAAGCAGATAAGACCACGCCTTTCGGTAATGACTCTGACGACTATCGGCTGCCTCGGTCGGCCGCTGGCGCCGCGGGCACCACAGATTATGGCGGTTCGGGTTAGCCCGGTGGCTCCTCGGGGTGGTAGGGTGATTTTACACGCCGCTCCGGCAGCCCCCGGGGAGGAGATAGCGGTGGGAGGCTGCAGAACAGGTTGGGGAGGGCAGGGTGATGGGGTGGTTCGGGTTTCGAGCGGTAAGTGGCGTCTGGCGATGCAGTAGCGATACAGAAGCGGTGTGGTAATGTTGCAGCATGTACCGATGTGGTATCAGTAGGCGGTGATTAAGTAGCAATGCAGCAGCGGTGTGTTAGTGGTGCGATAACTTTAAGGGACAATAATGAATCCGTGACCATTTGGTTTTCACTGGTGTGGTGCGTTTATTTTACGACGGAAGCTCTTTAGCATATAAATTGATGGAGTTGTTCAAACTCGGTTTAGAAACTTTCGAACTGTGATCAATAGTTGACGATTCGAAGGATCAACCAAGCATCGGCTCTTGGTTGAGCAGTTTTGAAGGGCATTACAGGAGGTCTTTACTTTTTGTCTTTCCGTCTTTTGATCTGCCCCCCCCCCTCCCCCACCGCCGGTTAGCGTGTTCGATGCTACCGACGCCAGCGTCGCTGCCGTTCATGACGACACCGCACCCTTTTCTTCTTTTGTTGGGCGCCTCGTCGCCGTCTGTCCGCGCCGTATTAGTGCTGAGCGATGGCGGCGGCGTCTATTTACCCTGTCACCGCGGTGGCCTGACACGGCTCTGAGGCCGCCTCTGCAGACCGGAGGTCCTCATGGGGTGACATCTGGGGTCCTATTGTCATTTCTGACTGCGGTCGTCCTCAGCCAAGGTAGTGGTCGGCCGGTCAACGAACGACCCTGGCCCATCGACTGACTGACCCACCGACCCACCTACCGACCCACCAACCCACCGACCCACCGACCGTGACCTACCCACCGGTGCCGGTCGCCGAAGGCGCGGCTGCCGCGTCGATTGCACCACTTTGCCGCTGACGGCGCGGCCAATGACGATCTGATGGCGGCTGATGACGCTCCGATGACGGATGATGGCGCTCCGATGACGGATGATGACAGCCGGTGACGGCGGCGCCAATGGTGACTAATGACGGTCCGACGGTGACGGCGGTGGCAGGGATGGTATTACCGTTACGGGGTAGAGGGTAGCGTTTGTTTGTTTATCGTCACCCCTCTTGAGGACTTACGTGTTGAGTGATATTCGGTCGTCGCAGCTATTCCTATGTCGTCGCGTTGTGTCATTGTTTGATGGACCCTTTGACCTGCTGTGAACGGCACCCGGCCATGATTTTATTCCGGAGTAACGGACACTTGCATGTATTGTAGTTGGTGTGTAGTACAACTGTTCTGAATGAAATGAGGCGTCCTCACAATCTGTCCCTGTCAGCCTGACTGATAGTGGTCTGTCTTACCCTATCTGACTGTGACAGGACAGTATCTGTCTGACTGACTCACTGTCACATGTCTTCCCATTTATCCTGTCCGCAGATTCGCACTGTCTCCTAGCTATGTCTGTGGAACGCTGCGACTGTGTCCCGTGTTCTGTCTAAGTCGCGCAGGACTGGTAACGTTTGTCTGCTCATGTATCCTGTCCGTTTCACGTGCCATCTACCTTATCTTTTTCTGTATCTATGGCATTATTTCTTGCCTCGTACACAGGTCTGCAGACACAGGGCTGTTTGTGTTCATGCATCCTACCTATACACAATACAAATGTCTTTGACTCGCTGGTGACTGACGACTGTATTCCCATCTGTCCCACAGGACTCTATCGAGACGGCTCACCTCGTGCAACTATTTGACCCGGTCACCTCACCTCGCTGTTACGCCCTCATCGCTACAAAACGGAGCGGCGCGGTGGACGAGAAGAGTCACAGGACGGGAGAAACTGAACCCACAGCGGTCAGTGGTGACTCAACGGTGGCCTGTAGCGACTCAGAGGATAGTGCTGAATCCTCGACAATGACTGTGGAGGCGAGGACGGCACAGACGTGACGAATCCAGACTCTAGCGACTTTCTTCATCTATACTTTTATGCAGTTCTGTTCTTCTGCGCCGATATAGGCTCGACCACTATGTAGTCTCAATCTTTTAGCTCGTACTTGTGTTTTCCGATTTAGACATTCGCCATTTGGTGATTACTTTAAACTGTGTTGACCTTTGCGATTCTGATCAATATTGATCACTCGCTGCTCTTTCTTTATTGCCAATATTTGAAGTGCTCTCTATTTTCGTCTTGATCTGTATTGAACCACTCGAACCCGTTCTGACCTTCGATAGCCTCTTCTGATCCCTCACACTGCCCTGTGCTCTATCTGCTGACCTCTGGCCTTTGCTGTGCTCTTCTCACCCCGATCCGTCGGGGGTTCTTACTCCCTATCCACTGAGCGGGTCACTATGACGTGGAACGGTCGGCCATTGGTCGCGTCATCATCAGTCATACCCCTCCTCTCCTCCCCTTTCTGGCGGCCCTGTGGCTATAGAAACCGCTCTCGGACCATGTGTGGTGTGATGACGTCATACATCGTGACGTCATACTGTGACGTCATCGCTGAGTGACGTTTTGTCCAGGGCCCTGTTTCACCGGTGATAGCAGCAAGCTGCTATCACGTTTCGCGAGCTGACGTCATGTCGTGACGCCATACTGTTGACGTAATGGGTAGTTACGGCGCACGATTGCCGCGAACTTGGCGGCGGCATTAAGTGACGTATTAGCCTAAAAGTAAGAGTTTACGCACTGCAGTCATGACTCATGATAGTATATATATTTTTGATAAATATTTTTCCAATATGATGTATTTAAAAAAAGTTGGGTTTAGGAAAAATTTGGACATTAACTTCGAACATTTAGCTGATGACGTAAAACAATATTGCGGCAATCGTGCGCCAGAATTGCCCCTTACGTCAGCAGTATGACGTCAGCACATTACGTCAGCTCGCGCAATTTGATAGCAGCGTGCTGCTATCACCGGTGAAACAGGGCCCAGACCTTCAGGCACCGTGAAGGGCACTCTGTGATGATTAGGCCGCGCTGTAGGCCCCACCGGCTCGCAGACAGTTTTTGTTTCATACCGGCGGGATGTGTTATTACGAGAGGTTTTTATACTGAGGCGAAACGCAATACATCATCTTCTTGTGGTTATGTTCGTTTGTCATTTGTTACCGTGAATTAAAGGGATGTCTGCTGGCTGCTTTTTGTCCCGGTTCGTTTGGGAGAGAGGCTGTCTCGAGCTTATGATGCTACAGGCGCCCATGAGAGAGAGGATAACTTACTGCTTGGTTAGCTCGAGGCAAGGTTGATCCATACTATAGCTTAGATTAGAAGAAACTGCGGAACTGTATAGTGTGCAGTTTCTTGTCGGCGAGCTGGTTCCACTTCCTATTGCCCCCTCGTAAATCTTCCTCTGATTTCGCTACATAATTTGATGATTGGTCCATCCTAGTCATTCTCTTTCGCTCACAAGAACTGCAAGACTTTACATCTCTGCTCCGTCTGCCACTTGATAAAAACAGCCCGTCAGCCGTGCTCGCTAATGCGCCGATGAGCATTCGACATCTCGCGCTGATAATGCCTGTTGTTGCTGCGCCCTTTCAGCGCTCCCGTCCCGTCGTTCGTCAATGGGCGCTGCCTGAAAGCCTGCCTTAGGACGGCCAATAGTTACCTCTCAGTGGAGTTCGAAGGCCTGTGTGGGCGACGAGATAATTCGGGCGCCGTCGCGTTTGCCGTGAACAAACACAGTCGGTTTAAAAGGAGAGCCTGACGTGAGGTTGGTTTTGAACCTGAGACTTTCAGTCTGGGAGCCGTTAAGGGGCGACCAAGCAGCGTCGCTCTGACCAAGCCAGTGGCTAGTATCGATCGTCTGTTGTCTAGGTGGCACTAGCGAATCTCTATTCCCTTTTATATAATACCCTATATATCCATCTAAGTCCTTATGTCAGTAACAACAACACATGTCCTACCTTCTACGTAGTGCTGGCATTGCAGTACGATGTATAGACACATTTATTGAGACATTTCGGATGAGTTACAAAGCGCCACAGCCACGTCCGCCGCCGCGGCGCCGCTCTCCACAGCTGGAGACCACGCCACGCCACGCCCGCACACAGACACACAAACAGGCGCCCCGCCCGGCGTCGCTCAGCGCTCAGGACGGACACCGACCGACGGCCGGCCGCGCTGCGCCGCGCGCGCGACAAATCAACAACTTGAGCAGTAACAATAGCACACAATAAAAAGCGGCAGCGGCGGCGCGACGGCCCGCCGAGCTTCTATGAATCCACAGGATTTCACACAACTCGACAGTACTCCTCTGGAATCCTCTCAAAAGTCAACGGGAGTCCGGTCAAACTACCAGAGTCCGTTGGCGTCTATTGGCATCGATGAGATTCCAGATTCCGCTGATGTGGGGAATCGCGTGCGACTGTTAACGTTTTCCTCAAACAGATAAGTTCAACTCCGGATTCCTCTAGCTCTGGACTCCGTGGTGGAACACTAGCTGAAACATCGAGTCTGCTAGAGCAGCCAGTGCTTCAAGAAATACCGAATTATTAGTTGCACCTGGTAGCGAGACACGAGTCACGACACCGTTACTGGAGTTGAACGGAGGCCGGCAGCCAGAAAAGTTTCAAAGGATCCGCTGGAATCCAGCAGTAGAGTCCAGTAGAGCTTGCTGGAGTTAAGTAGAGCTCGGTGGAGTCCTCAAAGTCCAGCAGAGAGCAGCAGTCCGCCAGAGTCCACTAGAGTCCAGTCCAGGAGAGTTCTCTGGAGTTCAGTAGATCTCTGTTCAGTTCGCTAGGAAATAGCAGAGAGCAGTGGTCCACAGTTCAAACAACAAAGTCATAGTTCACCAGAGTTCAGCAGAGTCTGACGAGTCCCCGGAGTCCGACTCCGACTCCGACACGGAAGCAGTGGGCGTCCAAACCGCCGTTTGATCTCAAATCACTATCAATTTGCATACACTTTCCTTACATCACTCGCTCACCCATCAGTACATCACCCGCTTTATCAGGACAACAGTCTCACCGCGATCCCGACCCATACCAGAGCCACCCACGTGACTTGGGGCACCGCCAGTGCCGGCACACCACTGAATGTCACGTGACTGGGCCGACTGACGTCCAGAGGTCGGGTCAGCTGGTCTGCCCCCAGGGCGTTCACCACCAGCACTGTAACCGGCCCGGCGAGCTCGGGCCTCAGAGCCGCTATCTGCAGTCGCCACTCGAAGCAGCTGTTGTGGGGGCCGTCAGTGTAGTTGTCTGCGGTGGCCAGGTCGGAGCGGTGGCCGGGCCGGACGGCCAGCTGCCCCACGGCCCACAGGAGGGAGGTGGGCGGCGGGTCGGCGCAGAACGAGGCCACCAGGGAGGCCGGCTGGCCGAGCACCGCCTCCCCGAGTACGGTGATGTTGGTCACCATCGGACGGCCTGTGAGAGCAGAGGGGGGAGAGAGTCAGAGGAAGGGTGTCAGGGGTGAGCTGGGGAGGTGCCAGGGAGGGGTCGACCGCCGACTGGGGGGTTGGGGTAACATCGCAAAATGGAGTAACAGGGTTGGCGGCAACATCAGCGGGGGGGGGGGGGGTGACTGTCAGCGAAGTCATGCCATGAGTTTTTAGTCCGAGGCTTTGATTTCGTCGGTATGTGAATAAATATTACGCAAATTAAAACACGGTCGAAGGACTCGGGTTTAGCGGCAACTATGTAAATCACATTGACGAGGGTCAGGAGTCGTTTAACACGACTAAACCACTTTGGCAAACGTTCTTGCGACAATAAACTCCCATAATAAGTCTGGTACTCTAGCCATGACTAGCTAAATTGGCACTGAACTTTAGAAAAACGACCCAATTAGCCGAGGCATTTTTGTTGGATCAGCGTTATTGGTGCTTGTTCGCACCTGCCGTTTAATATATCCCCGCGGTGTGATCCAATTCCAAGTTGGGTCCGGTGCCGATGGCTTTGGCGACAGCCTAATTGAGCCCAGTAAAGCCGGTTCTATAGGCGGACAGGTGACCAATATTGGTCCGCCCTTTAGCACGAGGCCGAAATATAACTGGAACGCTCGGAAAGTCGTACGAGCGACTTCCCGAGCGGGGAAGCGAAATAATCTAGGAAGATAACTGCACTTGCACAAATACCGTAAAATGCATTGATTGTATTTCATTTCTGGTGAAGTACGTACATGCGTCGTTTTCCATCGAACCGCCCCCTCATTGTTTATTGAAACAGCCCGCCCACTATTGCGAATTTCTGGACCCACAGCACGAGTTTTCCATTGTGCATCGGTCGTATTTATGGTTCCAATCAGTAGTCCAAGTGCCCGCCCGCGACTCATCAATAGCTCTGCAGTCGATGGCCGCGGCTGTCCCATTCCGACAGCGGATAAGGAAACCCACACTGTCGTTTATAACAATAGACACAGTGTAACATAGACACTATCGAGTGCAGTTACGAACAAGTGGCGATGAGCGATATGTGGTGCTGAGCAGTTACGCAAACATAGAACGGTGTTATTTGTATGACATATTCGTCACTGTTTGACACTAGCCAAACACATCTGTATAACCTGTGGGTACTCAGCACAGCCTCGGGTTACATGACTCCCCCCTTCCCTAGACTAGCGCCGTTCGTTAATTAATTAGTCGGCCTGCGGGTGCTGAGTGTTCGATTTGTGTAAACGCTGTGTCACTTGCGCCGATTAATCGTTCGCTGTGTTGACAGGGAAGCAAACACTCGCACGAACACTATGTGCATCTGCGCTGATTGGCGGTAAGGACAATCATGTTCGGCTGTAAGTGCGCAGCGCGGAGGGTGACGATGACGGGTTGCTATGGAAACCACAGCACGGAGTGTGCCAGAGAAGATTAAGTTTCTGCTAAAATTGTTTCTGAATCTTGTGACGCTTTTACGTTTAACCTTACTTGGACAATTTAGCTGAGTGGCTATAAAAATGACGTATCGGCGACAGAGATGTAAACGCTTCGTAAAATAAAATGCAATGAATTGTGCGGTTTGGCGAACTAGAGCGTGAGAACTAGCGTCAGTACATCAGCAATGATTATAATTAAACGCTCTGTATCAGTTAGGCACATCTATTCATTACGAGTTTGTCCAAACTGCTGGATTTAACGGGGGAGTTTGCAATCTGCTAAGAAGTTTGCTCCGACCGACCTGTTACGCAGGGAACCCGTACTCGCAAATAGGTTGAGAATGTCCGTTCTCGGAGCTCTCAAGCTGCAAAAGCTATTCCCCAAGGTTCGTCCCGACGAAACCTTCTCATTGACAACAGCTGTAGGCAGCGTAAAGCCCATGCAAAGCCCTCGCTTGGTGCGGCCATTCAGAACCGGGAAATGTTTGTTGGTGAAGCGGGGCGGAACCGTCCGCTTCGGGGGCGGAATCACCCAGTCTGCGGTAACGGCACCCTCCCCCCCCTTCCGTCACGCCCCAACCCCCCGCGCTCAGCGACCGTGACGTGATGCCACATCACGTCATTCGCGCCGCTCTGCCGACAAATACAAACAAACAAGCCGTGTGCGTCGGCACGCATCTGCATACAAAAACACCCTCCGAGCCGCCG